TGCTATGAATTCTCTTTTTGAAACATTATTAGAAATCTGAAAACTAAAATGTGAATTTTCCGGTTGATACGTAAGAGCTCCAGTGTAAAATAAGAAAGACAATAATGGAGTACGATCTGTAGTCAACTCTTGAATATTTACAAGCCGAAATCGTTGTTCGATTCCGTTTTTGGATTCAAGAAAAAATTGTCCGATTGCTTCAGTAAGTATTGATTTACCCAGGGGATTATTTACAATTAAGTCTAGTGTCATTTGTGAGGGCAATGTATGTGGGTCGGAAGAAAATCGAAGAAGTTTTTGAATGTTTATTGAACTATCTTTGCAATCTTCTATATGTTTTATCCTTCCGAATAACATCGTAACACTATATAATATGCTGCCGGTATTTAGTATACATTCTTTTTAATCAGGATTAAAATAATAACCCCCATATTCGTTCTCTAACCATTTCATTATTTCATTTGTAATTTCATGTGAGAACCGATTTTCAGAAATAGTATCTAAAAGAGCTTCGACTTCCGATTTTTTGAACCCATATAAATCCCAGAACTCTTCTCTTAATGCTAAATCGGTCGAAATATTAAAGCCCGATGTGACTTCTGCCATAACAATAGGTGTCACACCAGTTTGAAAAATGTAAGTAATGCTGTTATCACATGCAGACTTTAATAGACTGTAGAATTGCTTAAATGAACTCTCTACTCTTTCAATTTTTAGAGAATTTTGATTATAAACGGCAAGAGGTTTTAAGACAGATTCATTTTTAAGGACTTCATTCATTACAGCGTCATATTCATCAATAAGAATATAAAGCTAAAAATAATTAGTTAGCAGTTTCTTTTTTAAAAAAAGATGATAACTAAAAAGAAAAATACCTTATGCCCACTAAGTTCGACTGCATTTAAGAGTTCTTTGAAATTTGCCCAGCACTTTCTTTCTTATCCAAGATTAAATAGTGTTCATTTAATTCCTGTTTGTATTTACACAGGAACTTTGCTATGTCGATATTCAATCTTCTATGAAAATCCTCTTCAAAAACTTCAAACATCGAGTTCGTACGAAGTCCGGAAAAATTGAGTTGGAGAACAAGGAATGAAGTTGCCAATGACGTGGGATTCTTTCCTATGTATAGATCGCCAAAAAGTTTTTCAAACATTTTACCTTTATTTTTTATATCATAGTATGATGATAATGTAGAAAGGAATAATGATTTGCCGAAACGCCGAGGACGTAGCGAAAGTACAGCATGGACGTTAAGGCTCTCTATCTTTGAAATAAAGTATGTTTTATCTAAATAAAAACCACCTTCTTGTCTTAGGTTTATAAACGATCCAGTTGACAATATTTTAAGTGCTGATGTCAAATCGGAATCTTTGGGTAACATTTTGGATTCATTATTTGATTGACTTTGAGGTTCATTATTTGATTGACTTTGAGGTTCATCTATCCTCAACCTCTTTCGTTCTCGTTCGATCAAATCGAATTCCACATCGGAATTTAATTGGAGACCACATTGTATTTCTTTCTCCTACATATCAATATGAGGAGAATAAGAATCTGACTCAATAAAATGCATAAAAAATCTTCATTAGATTACTTGCCTTCTCGACTTTTGACACCAAATCAATAAGTTTAGATTCGAACCATAGTGTTGAAATTCGTTCCTTCCAAATTTTGATGTTTTCAGTGTTATTAACACTTTCCTATTTGAAAAAAAAAATCAAATAAATTAATACTTGGAAGTGTATTTCAGATTAATAATGAAGGAAAGAGAGTTCACAAAAGCTGCGGACGCTCGGACCTCACCTAGTGGACGCTCGGACCACAGGCTTAGCTCAAGGACCAACCCAGTGTTTCTATGACCATGCACGCGCGGTGCTACCCAGGTTTTATACACGGAAAAACCATAACAACTCTCGGATGTTGAATTACCATAGAGTACACTGACACCTTCACATATATGTTACTATTAACATATATGTTTCTATTAAGTAACACTATACTTCCCTTCATTTCTTTCTGTAGATTTTTGATGACATTATAAGCGGGGTGCGTGTCAGCATATATGTCTTTTAAGCTCCTTAACTCGTCAGCCAAGGCAGAGTGTGACTTTTGTTTGGTAACTGAAGAAGAAGGTGGTTGCTTCCCGATCCAATATATGTCCCAATCATTTATTTTACTCCAGGCACTAGGGTCTCGGTCCCAATAATCTGTATAACTAAAATTTATAATTACCAGGTTTCTAAACGTAAAATATAATACAAGGCAATAGACCGACCTGGGTGTTTCAACTTTAAACGGTCCTCTTTTGACAAATACTCCATACGAGAAAAATTTTTTTTTTGCGTGTGAATAACGACAATCATTTTTTCAGTTTATATTTCGCATAACAGTTCTGTTAGGCCCAAATAAGGATTGACTTTGTTATTATAATTTATAGTATAATCATATTTTTCTCAGTAATACAAAAG